ATCCCTCACTTGCTAAGGCCCCAAACCCAGGAGTCACCCTTATTCTCTATCCCTGACATTCCTCATCCAACCCATCTGCTTCCGAAGATATCCCAGTTTTGAATACACCTCCTTATCTCCACTCCCAGATCGCTAGTCTCGGACTCCTCTGCCATCCCTGGGATGACTCCAGCAGTCCCCCACTGGTCTCCCCGACTCCTTCTTTTGACCCTCTATGGTCATCATGCACGTAGCAGCCCAAATGATCAGATCATGTCACTCCCTAGCTTAAAATCTTCCAGTGGATTTTCACTACACTTGGATTTCTTCCCGAAGCCTGCCTGACCCTAGCCCCTGCCTCTTGCTCAGACCTTCTGCTCCTCAGGACACAGTAGCAACACTGGCCTTAGCTCTTATCCTCAACACACTCAGCTCACACCTAGGTGCTCTGCGCATGCTCCATTTGAAGTCTCCTCCAAAAATGCTAAACAGCTGCATTCGTATCATTTAAGTCTCAGTTCAAATGCCACGTCTTCTATGAGGTCTTCCCCAAATACCCCAGTTAAAGCCATGCCACATTCTCACCTCTATTATCTCTACCTTATCTTCCCCACAACACTCAGTAATTACAGTATTCTTCTTTTTCTATTTGTTTTCCCCAGGACTACAAGCCCCACTATTCTTGCTCACTACTGCATCCCTCATGTCTAGAACAGTGCTAGGCATTAAGATTTTTTTTTTTTTGAGACAGAGTTTTACTCTTGTTGTCCAGGCTGGAGATTAATGGCGCGATCTCAGCTCACTGCAAATCTGCCTCCTGGGTTCAAGTGATTCTCCTGCCTCAGCCTCCTGAGTGGCTGCGATAACAGGCACGTGCCACCATGCTCAGCTTATTTTGTATTTTTATTAGAGATGGGGTTTCACCATGTTGGCCAGGCAGGTTTGAATTCCTGACCTCAGGTGATCCAACCCACCTCAGTCTCCCAAAGTGCTGAAATTATAGGCATGAGCCACCGCACGCGGCCAAAGTTTTCAATGAACATCATGAAGCAGTTGGTTTGAAAGACAATGGTGTGCTCCCCTAATCCTCAGAATGGTGTCTCTGTTCCCTTATCCACATCTGAGATGGAAGCTTGTTTACCAGTGTATTCATTCACTCAATTCTAATCAACAATCGATACCTGGGAAGGTACTCATTGTGACCATACAATCAGGATAATCTGTTTCACAATTCAAACCAAGATTTTAATTAATTAATTAATTAACTTTTTTTTGAGACAGAGTCTTACTCCATCACCAGGCACCAGGCTGGAGTGCAGAGGCGCGACCTCGGCTCACTGCAACCTCCGCCTCCCGGGTTCCAGCAATTTTCCTGCCTCAGCCTCCCGAGTAGCTGGGATTACAGGCGCACGCCACCACGCCCAGCTAATTTTTTTGTATTTTTTTTTTTTTTTTTTTAGTAGAGACGGGGTTTCACCATGTTGGCCAGGATGGTCTGGATCTCTTGACCTTGTGATCCGCCCACCTCGGCCTCCCAAAGTGCTGGGATTACAGGCATGAGCCACCATGCACGGCCATAAAAGAGGTAAATTTACAAGCTTCTCAGAGAAACTGTGTTAGCTGGTTACTTGAGACAGCCTGGTTATTGGGAAGCAGTGTGCAAACTGCATATATTGTTCCTTCATCTTAGCCAAAGGAACAAACAAGGAGACCAGGATTTAATCCTAACTCTGCTACTGGAAGTCACTGAGGCTCTCAAGGTCTTAGATTCTCCACCTGTAAAAGAGGGGATTAGTCTAAGTGATGGTCATAAACACATTCTACTTGCTCATCACTTTCTTTTATTTATTTTTTTTTACCATGGAGTCTCGCTTTGTCGCCAGGGTGGAGTGTAGTGGCATGGTCTCTGCTCACTGAAACCTCTGCCTCCCGGGTTCAAGCGATACTCCTGTCTCAGCCTCCTGAGTAGCTGGAACTACAGGCTCGTGCCACTATGCCCAGCTAATTTTTGTATTTTTAGTAGAGACAGGGTTTGACCACGTTGGTCAGGAAGCTTCGATCTCTTGACCTCATGATCCGCCCTCCTCGGCCTCCTAAAGTGCTGGGATTACAGGCGTGAGCCACTGCGCCTGGCCTTGCTCATCACTTTCTTTTTTTTTTGTTACCCAGGCTGGAGTACAATCGCACGATCTCGGCTCACTGCAACCTCCACCTGCCAAGGTTCAGGCAATTCTCTTGCCTCAGCCTCCTGAGTAGCTGGGATTACAGGCACACGCCACCATGCCGAGCTAATTTTTTGTATTTTGAGTAGAGACAGGGTTTCACCATGTTGACCAGGATGGTCTCGATCTCTTGACCTCGTGATCTACCTGCCTTGGCCTCCCAAAGTGCTGGGATTACAGGCTTGAGCCACCGCGCCCAGCCTGCTCATCACTTTCTAATATCCAGCTGCTGAATACACATTTGTTCAATGAAGATCATCCCCAACTGACAGACAATGGACTCAGGAAGTAACTTACTCAAGGTCACAGGCTCTGGAAAGAGAATGAACTATAGCCCAGATCTCCTTCTATACCAGTCTAATAATCATACTTTCCAATACCCTTTTCAGTTAAAAAACGGTGTGGTATCATTCTTCTCTTCCAAGTTCAAGAAATCTATAATCATTTATCTTATCAAATAATCTTGCCTGTCTCCCTTAAATCACAGGACAGGAAGAAACAATTATTTCCACATCATTAACCTCGACAATCAAAAGACATGAAGAGGCCAGGTACAGTGGCTCATACCTGTAATCCCAGCACTTTGGGAGGCCAAGATAGGCTGATTACTTGAGGTCAGGAGTTTGTGACCAGCCTGATCAATATGGTAAAACCCCATCTCTACTAAAAATACAAAAATTAGCCAAGCATGGAAGCATGTGCCTGTAATCCCAGCTAGTTAGGAGGCAGGAGAATCACTTGAACCCAGCAGAGATTGCTGTGAGCCGAGATTACGCCACTGCACTCCAGTCTGGGCAACAACAGTGAAACTCCATCTCAAAAAAAAAGAGAGGAGCTGGGGTATGAGAGGGCATGGAGGAGGACGTGGAAGAGGGTGAGAAAGAGGTATGGCTAGATGGGAGTCTAAAGACTAGAGATAAATCAATGTGTGATGTGCAAAGAGGAAGGACACTGAAAGGATGAGTGCCCTGAAAGGGCAGTCTATGAAAATCAGGTGCCCCATATAGCCACCAGTTTTATCTCCATGCAATGACCCAAGATCGCACCACTGCACTCCAGCCTGAGCGACAGAGCAAGACTCAGTCTCAAAAAAGAAAAAAAAAAAGATGTGAAGAGATAATTAAGTACAAATCCCTTGCCTTTGCCCAGAATTGAGACCAGAATTCTTTTCAGATAAATGATGATTTTACTTTAAACCATATGGTAAAATGTAAGCAATGTGATGAAAAATAAAGTGCCACAATGCTTCCTGAGAGCAACGCATAACTTGTAAAATTCTATTATCAAAGTTGTGCCACTTGATCCAAAAGATTCACAAAGTGAACTGTGACAGAGGATGTCTACAGAGGCTTGCTGGCTTTATTTTTATTAACAAGTACACATTTGACATTGAACCTTTGAGTATAACACCTTCCCAGGGCTGTCAAGTTAGGAGTGAAAAAACCATCTGGCAGTCACAGTCAGCTTTCTACATAGCTTCTAACAGGGAAGTCAAGGTCAAACTGGAGTCTCCCTATCCTTCCATATTTGACAAGCAACTTGTTATGAGCTCAAAACATTCATTCTGCATTCTGACAAATAGAAATGACAGTACCATGGTTCAGAAAGTTCTGTGAGGGCAAACTGACATAAACAAAAACTGAGTGGTGGTAGGGCTCATGCTTCTGTCACAGCACTTCGGTGACACTCAGAACCAGAACTTTCACCTACTCTCTACCAGTTTTATGACCTATCAGATAAGAAAAACCATCTCATTCCTATGATTACATGAATCAAATGATTTAACGAAGAATTAAAAGTTTTCAAATCTTGTGCAAAGGTGAGAAACTATCATTACTATATACTACGCAGGGGCCCAGAAGACACCCCCAGGCATTCCATGTTCCGCAGAGTCCTCAAAAGGTGGTACAGGGTCCTAGTTTCTTCTCCAGGCCCGGCAACTGCAGATGCTGTCGAGTCTCTGTTGCTATGAAATGGGAAGTGAGGCCTCAGGCACTGGGCCTAGAATGCTCAACAACGACCGCGCCCCCTAGTCACCTTGTCCTCACCTTGAGGAACCGAAACACACTCCACAGAAGCAGGGAATGCTCTCCTCAAGAAGAAGGAGGTGCCTCCGCTCCTCACCTGGCCGCCGCTGCGTGGGCCCACGCTTCTCGCGGGGCGGGGGACGGGGCCAGGAAAGCTGACAGTGTGGGGGACGCCTTGACCTAGGGCACCAGAGGAGCGGGCACGGGTGCTGGGCCCACAACCAGGACAGGTACAAGAGAAATTGGCCCCAGGTCGGGCCCGCCTCGCCCTGCCTCACCCACAGCCGCCGGCAGAGTAGGAGGCACCCCGCCCCCATGAACCTAGAGGTCCCTGAGCTTGCTCACCTGCAGCCGGGTCACCAGTAGGCTGTAGGGCGCCATTTTGTGCACTGACAAAGATGAGGTCGCGTGAAAGTGACGTCCCACACGGCGCTTTTAAAGCCTTTGGGCAGGGGCGTGCCCAAAATAATGGAGCGTCACGGTGAAGGCGGGGTCTCCCTAGAGGCGGCAGAACCCTGAGAACGCAGTGAGCGGAGTTCACGTGTAATGAACCGACACGCAAGAGGAAAAAGAGGAAATAAAACTGCCGAAAGTCACTTGCAGAAGTAAATACCAAGCACAAAGATGTTTATCCAATAAGAAATTTTCATTATCTCTGCCATCCAAATCTGGGAGTTTTTAAGACTTTTATGCACCTGCCAGGACCTGACCGCCCAGCGACAAAACTCTCGCGAGAGCAAGCGGGCCCTGGTGCAAGGATTGTAAACTGACGGAAGCCTAGAGGACCAATCACAACGACGTAGAGGCAGGAACTATAGGGGTTAAGGATCCAACGGAAGTTCCCGAAGCTTCCGGCGGCCGGCTTCGTTGGGAACTATGGCTAAACATCATCCTGATTTGATCTTTTGCCGCAAACAGGCTGGTGTTGGTGAGACTGCGCCTTGCCCCCGGCTGTCTGGGTAGGGGTAGTGTTAGGATCTGGGGGCTGGGGGGGTTTCCATCTCTTCCTTAGGGTCTAGCCTCTCAGGCGCCACGTTTCCCGCCTCTCAGGCATAGAGTGTTGTAGGAGCGCGCAGGTTTGTGGCCTCTGAGGGCGGGGGTGCGCGTGCTGGGAGCCCCAGGCAGGCGTCGGGGTTGGGGTCTGGGCCAAGTCTAGAGAAACTTAGTTTGCTAAGGACTTTGGAAGACATTCAGAAGGATACTCGGGCTATGAGTTTGCTTTATGTGGAAATTTGTAATGATAAAATGGCTATCCACAGGGCTCACTACAGTCCTTGTTCATGTTCCTGTCCCTAGGTCGAGGATGTACTTCCCCTCTTTGTCAAAATCTTTAATTGTACTTTTTACTATCTTTGATTTTGCAGCCATCGGAAGACTGTGTGAAAAATGTGAGTGGAACACACCGTCCAACAACCCACCCTTCCTACTCCCAGTTTCTGTGGAGCCAGCCAAAGTGCCACAAAGGGGTCTTTGAGTAGATGTGCCTGGATCTAGATGCTGGACTTCAACCAAAGGCCCCTCCATCTCCCCACTGCCACTTGCACATACAATGCTGTATCTATCTCTAGCTTTCAACAGGAAGAATCGCCAGAGTAGCGTGACCCCTCCCCAACATACAACATTTTGCCAGCAATTATATAGGCTTATCATCTCCCAAGTGCTTTTCTAAGTTCTTTCCATATGTTAATTGATAAACTTTTGTATGTGTTGAGGGGTTTGAGATGGATGCTGGATAAACCAAGTTTGTGATTCCCAAGAGGAGGGCCCTAAAGTCACTGTCAAAAGGAGACTAGTATCTTTCCCCATGGCAGGAAATAGCAGAGGACTGAAGAACTTGCTAGTGAGCATGACTTCATTCTTTTCCTTGCAGGTGATGGCAAGTGTGTGATTTGTGACTCCTATGTGCGTCCCTGTACTCTGGTTCGCATATGTGATGAGTGTAATTATGGATCTTACCAGGGGCGCTGTGTGATCTGCGGAGGCCCTGGGGTCTCTGATGCCTATTATTGTAAGGAGTGTACCATCCAGGAGAAGGATGTAAGTGTACAGCTTTCCATCTGACCTTTCCTCCTTTTATTTAATAACACTTTGCCATCCACTGCAATCTCCTATGGTCTATGGAGATTACTGTGTTCATCTAGTCATCTAGGTTATAATTTCTTCAAGTTCTGTGAGTCAAACTGGGTGTAGTCCAATAAAAGGCAGTTATTTTGCATCAAGGGGAAAATGCAAGGTAAGCAAATCTGTGTCAAGACCAGCAATTTGGAGAGCCCTCTCTCTATTCTTTTTATGTCTCTCTGTGATTATTCTTATTCAGAAATGACATCTGCTCCAGGCGCGATGGCTCACGCCTGTAATCCCAACACTTTGGGAGGCTGAGACAGGTGGATCATGAGGTCAGGAGTTCCAGACCAGCCTGACCAACATGGTGAAACCTTGACTCTACTAAAAATACAAAAATTAGCCAGGCTTAGTGGTGTGCGCCTGTAATCCCAGCTACTCAGGAAGCTGAGGTAGGAGAATCACTTGAACCCAGGAGGCAGAGGTTGCAGTGAGCGAAAATCGTGCCATTGCACTCCAGTCTGGGCAACAGAGTGAGACTCTGTCTCAGAAAAAAAAGACATCCAGTTGGGGATGGTGGCTCACACCTGTAATCTCAGCACTTTGGGAGTCCACAGCAGGAGAATGACTTTAGTCCAGGAGTTCAAGACCAGGCTGGGCCATACAGCAAGATCCCATCTCGACAAAAAATAATAATTTTTATTTGAGACAGGGTCTCTTGCTCCGTGGCCAGGCTGGGTGCAGTGGCATGATCATGTGCAAGGCTCACTGCAGCCTTGACTTCCTGGGCTCAAGCAATCCCCCCACCTCAGCCTCCCAAGTAGCTGGGACTGCAGGCATGCACCACCACACCTAGCTAATTTTTTTTCTTTTTTTTTTTTTTTCCTTTTTTTTGAGATGGAGTTTTGCCCTTGTTGCCTAGGCTGGAGTACATTGGCGCAATCTTGGCTCACCACAACCTCCACCTCCCGGTTCAAGTGATTCTCCTGCCTCAGCCTCCCAAGTCGCTAAGATTACAGGCATGTGTCACCACACCCAGCTTTTTTTTTTTTTTTTTTTTTTTTGTATTTTTAGTAGAGACAGGGTTTCTCCATGTTGGTCAGGCTGGTCTCAAACTCCTAACCACAGGTGATCCACCTGCCATGGCCTCCCAAAGTGCTGGGATTAGAGGCATGAGCCGCCATGTTCAGCCTGGCTAATTTTTTTGTAGAGATGGGGTCTCGTTTTATTGTCTGGATTGGTCTCAAGCTCCTGGGCTCAAGCAATCCTCCTGCCTGAGCCTCCCCAAGAGCTGGGATTACAGGCATGTAGCCATCATGACTGGCCAAAAAAATATTTTTCATTAGTAGGGTGTGGTGGTGTGCACCTGTGGTCCCAGCTACCTGGGAAGCTGAGGCAGGTGAATCACTTGAGCCCAGGAGGTCAAGGCTGCAGTGAGCCATGTTCATGCCACTGCACTCCAGCCTGGGTGACAGAGACCTTGTGTGTTTATTAGTCCTATACAGTGCATGTTGTGTCACAGCCACTCATTAATGTCTCAAATCTATCATTAAGCACTATTTGGGTATATATCATGACAAAGTTGAACTTGAGACAATTCAAGTTGACATCAGCTTTAAGCAGGTAACGAATGTCTTTGGTTTAATATTGCAGAAATGATTTTGGACCTGCATCATGATTTTTTTTGTCCCTTGACATTGTGTATGACAGTGGCTACTTAATTATTCAACTCTCTGAGCCAAAAGTCAGGAGAGAGAGTTTATAGACCAGTGCTACAGGCAAGGTTTACCCCATTTCTTTAGGTTAGTGCTGGCAGCAGAGTTTTCTAGGGGGGAAACTATGAATCAGCTTGTTTTCTTCAAAAAAACAAAACAAAAGGAAGTATGGTATAGTCCCACCAGGTTAATGGTGGTACCCAGTTACCTAATTTAATTCTAATTTAGAACAAGGCAAAAGATACACAATTCTGGCCGGGCACAGTGGCTCAAGCCTGTAGTCCCAGCACTTTGGGAGGCCGACGTGGGTGGATCAAGAAATCAAGACCATCCTGGTCAACATGGTGAAACCCCGTCTCTACTAAAAATACAAAAAATTAGCTCGGCATGGTGGCGCGTGCCTGTAATCCCAGCTACTCAGGAGGCTGAGGCAGGAGAATTGTCTGAACCAAGGAGGCAGAGGTTGCGGTGAGCCGAGATTGCGCCATTGCACTCCGGCGTGGGTAACAAGAGCGAAACTCCGTCTCAAAAAAAAAAAAAAAAGATACACAATTCTTCGTATTTCCATAAGCAAAGAATAGGTCTTTTACAGATTTTATCACACCTTGTTCCTCACAATAACTTTTTTAAATAGGGATGGTTATTATGATGCTCATTTTACAGTTCCTCTGGCAAGCCCAGGCTATTCTACTAAACCTTCTAGTGTCCCCATTACAGTTGCTTTTGGGATGTGCCCCTGGTGAAGGCAACAACCCCAGTGCCTCATTTCTTGTACTTGGATCCTTCCTACCCCCAGTGAGTGGGAAAGATTGGCCCAGATATGACTACACCATTGGGCTGGGCACGGTGTTGCGTGCCTGCAATCCCAGCACTTTGGGAGGCCGAAGTGGGTAGATCACCTGAGGTCAGAAGTTTGAGGCCACTGTGGCCAACAGGGTAAAACCTCATCTCTACTAAAAATACAAAATTAGCTGGGCATGGTGGCACATGTCTATAATCTCAGCTACTCAGGAGGCTGAGGCAGGAGAATAGCTTGAACCCAGGAAGTGGAGGTTGCTGTCAGCTGAGCCAAGATCATGCCATTGCACTCCAGTATAGGCAACAAGAGCGAAATTCCATCTAAAAGAAAAGAGAGAGAACATCGAATCTTCGGTTGTTTAGGGAGATGAGAAAGGTCCTGAAATGCCAAAAACCTAACTTCTGTTAGTGATTTGGACCTTTCTCTTGGTCTCAACTCTGATTTGCATTTACTTTCAACTGTTAAGTCATATCCTGCTGTCCAGAAATCCAGATCTAGTCTGCCAGCTAGATTACACTTCATTAAAGGCAGGGTTTTGGTTTGTCTGTTTGCCTCTCCTTTTCCTTAGGTCATGGTGCAATGTCTGACATATGGTGCAAGCATGGTACATATGTTTTGGTGCTGCCCCATAAGTCATCCAGAGGTATCCCTATAAGGTGTCTAGTACATGGTAGGTATTTGGTAATTATTTCTGGTCTATAAGCAGTGAAACCATGATAAGCTAACAGCAGTGAAGAAAAGTTACAAATAGTATCTAAACTAGCTACAGGGTCCATTTAAGATAGCATTTTCTTGAATTTTTGCATGGTTATAGCTAGAGTTCTTATCTGGCCTAAGATTGCAACCAGAGAGTGCCTAATAAATGTTAATTGCTGTCTGACTCCTCTGAATGTGGTGTGTGAACTGATACCTTTAGATCCTTGTGCCTCATTCTGTCCCTGAGACTTAATTTAGATGTCACTTCCCCTACTTCACATTATACATGAATGTTCTGAGGATATTTGAGATGGAATCTAGCTCACATTTTCAGTACTAGTTTCCAAGGAACACAAAGCAGTCCAGTGACATGATCCAGGCTCTCAGCCTTACAGATCATCATGTAGATTAAGTGGCCAAGGCTTTTTCCTATGTAGAAACCTTCTTACAACCCAAGCCACCCTTGTTATTGTTCTCTTCCTGAAACATTCATAATTTATAAGGGATTTAGACAGGTAAACTAAGCTAGGTGTTCTCATTTATAATTTTTCAAAGCCACAAGAATAACCAGGAGACAGGGATGATGTCTGTGGGCATTGCTATCAGAGGACTAATTTGCAGGTTCTTATGGTGCTGTATTGTATAATCTCCGTAGTCTTGATTTCTTTGTTTCTTTTGCTTACCATTTTCCTCAGTTCTCACAACCAGAAAATAATAAAAATGGCACTAACATTTATGAAGCTCTTAATATGGGCCAGGTACTCTGCTGAACATTGTTTTCCAAAAGTTCTGCATGATACAGATGAGGATGCTAAAGCTCAGAGATGTTAAGCAACTTGGTGGGCACAAGGTCACATAGCTAATAAGTGACTGATCCAGGACTAGAGCCTAGGTGATCTGACTCAATGTTTCTTTCTTTCTTTCTTCTTTCTTTTCTTTCTTTCTTTATTTATTTTTTTTTTGAGATGGAGTGTCGCTCTTGTTGCCAAGGCTGAAGTGCAGCAGTGCAATCTCGACTCTACAACCTCCACCTCCTGGGTTCAAGCACTTCTGCTATAGCTTCCCAAGTAGCTGGGATTACAGGCATGAGCCACCATGCCTGGTGTTTTTTTTTTTTGTTTGTATTTTTGTTCTTTTTGAGATGTAGTCTCACTCTGTCACGCCCAGGCTGGAGTGCAGTGGCAGGATCTTGGCTCACTGCAACCTCCGCCTCCTAGGTTCAAAAAATTCTCCTGTCTCAACCCCCTAAGAAGCTAGGATTACAGGTGCGTGCCACCATACCTGGCTAATTTTTATATTTTTGGTAGCAACGGGGTTTCAACATGTTGGCCAGGATGGTCTCAAACTCCTGACCTGGTGATCCACCCACCTTGGCCTCCCAGAGTTCTGGGATTACAGGTGTGAGCCACTGCACCCAGCCTAATTTTTGCATCTTTAGGAGATATGGGGTTTCACTACACCCAGCCTGACTCAGCATTTCTTAACCTTTTATTTTTTTTTCTTATTACACTCCTAAGGAGAAAAGTTAAAATTAATTTAATTAAATTTGGGGACTTGGTGCAGTGGCCCACGTCTGTAATCCCAGCACTTTGGGAGGCTGAGGTAGGCAGATCACCTACATTCAGGAGTTCGAGACCAGCCTAGCCAACATGGTGAAACCTCTTCTCTACTAAAAATACAAAAATTAGCTGGTTGTGGTGGCTGGCACCTGTAATAACATCTACTTGGGAGGCTCCAGCAGGAGAATTGCTTGAACCTGGGAGGCGGAGGTTGCAGTGAGCTGAGATGGCACTATTGCACTCCGGCCTGGGCAATAGAGCAAGACTCCATTTCCAAAAAGAAAATCTAGTCACTTGTCACCCATGGACCTAAAATATTAACTTTGTGTGTTTTCAGGTATTTTTGTAGTTGTTGATCTCAGTCCCCAAAGAAAGAGATTCATTGAATTAGAAATGAGAAGGCTGAGCCGGGCGCAGTGGCTCACACCTGTAATCCCAGCACTTTGGGAGGCCGAGGCGGGTGGATCATGAGGTCAACAGATCGAGACCATCCTGGTCAGCATGGTGAAACCCCGTCTCTACTAAAAATACAAAAAATTAGCTGGGCACAGTGGCGCATGCCTGTAATCCCAGCTACTTAGGAGGCTGAGGCAGGAGAATTGCCTGAACCCAGGAGGCGGAGGTTGTGGTTTGCACTCCAGCCTGGGTAACAAGAGCGAAACTCCGTCTCAAAAAAAAGAAATGAGAAGGCTGGCCGGATGCAGTGGCTCATGCCTGTAAAGCTCAGCACTTTGGGAGGCCGAGGTGGGTGGATCACAAGGTCAGGAGATGGAGACCATCCTGGCTAACATGGTGAAACCCTGTCTCCACTAAAAATACAAAAAACACTTAGCTGGGCGTGGTAGCACGTGCCTGTAATCCCAACTACTCGGGAGGCTGAGGCAGGAGAATCACTTGAACCCAGGAGGTAGACGTTGCAGTGAGCCGAGATCGCCCCACTGCACTCCAGCCTGGGTGACAGAGCAAGACTGTCTCAAAAAATAATAATACTTTTTTTAAAAAAAAGAAAATGAGATGGCCAAGAAGTTGATTACTTCATACTATCACCTAATATCACAGAACTCAAACTCTGAGATGGGTGTTTAGTAAAATCAACATACCTGTAAGGGTTTTCCAGTTGCAGCTTCCCTGGTTTTCTTCCCATCATCCCTAATCAACCGATGGAGTCATCATTTCTGTAGAACACAGCTTCCCAGGGGCTTCATTGAAAGCACTCAAGCTCATTGAATGGCCAGGGCAGCTTGTCATGACAAATCAGTGCATGGTCTGTCAACAGTCATCTGTCCCTAGCATACTAGTACTCTGTGTCAAAGACCACATGTGAAATTAAGTGAATTAATGAAGATACATAAAACCCATTTTTGTCCTATAGTATTCAAAATGTAGGGTACTAATGCTTCTTTTTTTAAATAGGTGGTATCTTGCTGTGCTGGCCATGCTGGTCTTAAACTCCTGGCCTCAAGCAGTGCTCCTGCTTCATCCTCCCAGAGTGCTGGGATTACAGACATGAGCCACCACACCTGGCTGGTACTATTTGTTAAAGTCTTTCAGGTTTTTTTCCCTTTGTGGTATCCTCTCCATACCTGAGATAGCGTAGGAGGGCTGGACAGCTTGTTCTGTGGTGATTATTAACATTTTTTTTTTTTTTACCACTTGAGGAAAACCCTTTGGACATTTAAGACTTTCATATTCTGCCTCAACTGTATCATATATTAGCAACAGACATGGCTGATAATCCAGTATTCTTTCTTTTTTTTTTTTGAGACAGAGTCTTGCTCTGTTGCCAGGCACTGGGCTGGAGTGCAGTAGTGCAATCTTGGCTCACTGCAATCTCCGCCTCCTGGGTTCAGGCAATTCTCCTGCCTTCTCTTGACCTCATGATCCACCCGCCTCCATCTCCCAAAGTGCTGGGATTACAGGCGTGAGCCACCATGCCCAGCCGAGAATCCGGCATTCTAAGTGTAATTTATAGGTCTTTGGATAGAGGGGAGGCAGGCCTTGAGCACATTCTTAGGTGTTTAGTAAATTTTTTTTTTTTTTTGAGACGGAGTTTCGCTCTTGTTACCTGGGCTGGAGTGCAATGGCGCAACCTCGGCTCACCACAACCTCCGCCTCCTGGGTTCAGGCAATTCTCCTGCCTCAGCCTCCTGAGTAGCTGGGATTACAGGCACGTGCCACCGTGCCCAGCTAATTTTTTGCATTTTGAGTAGAGACAGGGTTTCACCATGTTGACCAGGATGGTCTCAATCTCTTGACCTCGTGATCCACCTGCCTTGGCCTCCCAAAGCGCTGGGATTACAGGCTTCAGCCACCGTGCCCAGCAGTAAATTTTTTTTTTAAGACAAGAGTCTCCGTCACCAGGCGCCAGGCTGGAGTGCAGTGGTGCAACCTCCGCCTCCCGGGTTCAGGCAATTCTGCCTCAGCCTCCCAAGTAGCCAGGACTACAGGCGTGCACCACCACGCCCAGCTAATTTTTTTATATTTTTAGTAGAGATGGGGTTTCACCATGTTGGCCAGGATGGTCTCCATCTCTCGACCTCGTGATCCGCCCGCCTCAGCTATTATTTTACTTATTTTTTTGAGGCAGTGTCTTGCTCTTGTCGCCCAGGCTAGAGTGCAGTGGCATGACCTCGGCTCACTGCAGCCTCCACCTTCAGGGTTCAAGTGATTCTCCTGCCTCAGCCTCCTGAGTAGCTGGGATTACAGGTGTTAGCCACCACCTGGCTAATTTTTGTATTTTTAGTAGAGATGAGTTTTCACCATATTGGTCAGGCTGGTCTTGAACTCCTGACCTCAGGTGATCTGCCTGCCTCAGCCTTCCAAAGTGCTAGGATTACAAGCATGAGCCACCTCGCCCAGCCCTATTTAGTAAATTATTGATGATAGGATGGGGCAAGGAGGCGCATGCCTATAATCCCAGCACTTTGTGGGGCTCAGGTGGGCAGATCATGAGGGCAGGAGTTTGAGACCAGCCTGGCCAACATGGTGAAACCTGGTCTCTACTAAAAATACAAAAATTGGCCGGGCGCAGTGGCTCAAGCCTATAATCCCAGCACTTTGGGAGGCCGAGACGGGTGGATCACGAGGTCAAAAGATCGAGACCATCCTGGTCAACATGGTGAAACCCCATCTCTACTAAAAATACAAAAAATTAGCTGGGCATGGTAGTGCGTGCCTGTAATCTCAGCTACTCAAGAGGCTGAGACAGAGAATTGCCTGAACGCAGGAGGCGGAGGTTGCAGTGAGCCGAGATCACACCATTGCACTCCAGCCTGGGTAACAAGAGCGAAACTCGATCTCAAAAAAAAAATACAAAAATTAGCCCAGCTCCTTGGGATGCTGAGGCAGAATTGCTTGAACCCTGGTGGTGGAGGCTGCAGTGAGTCAGGGTTGCACCATTGCACTCCAGCCTGGGCAACAGAGCAAGACTCTGTCAAAAAAAAATTACTGATGATAGATCAAATAGGATAATAGGATAACTGGTAAGATAAATGGCTAAACCATTAATCCAAAAGTTATAAAATGGTCTTTCATAAGTGCTAAGAGATTGGGAAGAAACATTGCTGATGGATCTCAGCCTCCCAATTAAGGAGATATTGGTGTTTGGACACATTTGCAAACCCATTTATTGGGGTCTTCAAATACTAAGGTGAGAAGTTGAACTCTGTGACCAAATTTTTTTTTTCAAGAGATGCGGGGGGGCATCTCGTTATGTTTCCCATGGTGGGGTAACAGTAGCTGGCTATTCACAGGCATGTTCATAGCTTACTATGGCCTCGAACTCCTGGGCTCCAGTGATCCTCCTGCCTCGGCCTACTGAGTAGCTGGGACTAAAGACACATGCTACCACACTGGGCTTAAGTTTTTTATCTTAATTCACTCTTGGTTCAGGCACAAAGACTTAACAACTTCTCTGTTCTGTTTTCCAGAGAGATGGCTGCCCAAAGATTGTTAATTTGGGGAGCTCTAAGACAGATCTCTTCTATGAACGCAAAAAATATGGCTTCAAGAAGAGGTGATTGGTCAGTGGCCCCTTCCTTCCCCCCACATCAAGCTGCTGCAGCTACCAGAAAAGATGCCTACTACTACCAGCAGAAAGGGAACAGAGCACAGAGTATTACCAGGCTAGTGTACTGGCAGCTTGCCACTCTCCTCTCACCCAGACATGTGGTATGGATGGAAAAGGATTCTTCACAGAGCACTCTGGCACACTGTATCAGAAAAATAATATTTTAGTCTTGTGCTTGAAGAGTTGACTGTGAAGCCATGCCCAGTGAAAAACTTGTTCCTGCAGCAGCTCTGGTGGCAACTGTCCTTGAGGAACCTTCGGTTTGTGGTGGGAAGCTATCAGAACAAGAAATAATAGGCATTTACTCTTTAAACACTTGTGCTGGTGTTATGTTATTTCCTTCGTAGAAATTGGAAACCTTTTCTGTTGCTATTATATTAATAAAATTGGTGTCTATTTTCTGGTAGTCACTTTAGGAATTTATTTTAGTCGCCCAGGAATTTGTGATTCAAAACAGAGGTAGTGGGATTGGTTAAGTACCTTATTCTCTTATTACCACTGTAAGGAATTCAAAACCACCCATGCTTTTCATTATAGGTAAAACAGTGTCATTTTTAGAAACGTACTATTTTTTCCTTCCTGTCCAACTTTAATTTTGAACTGAAGAGATCGCTTCCAGTAATGGTGGAGGCTGGGCACAGTGGTTCACGCCTATAATCCCAACACTTTGGGAGACCCAGGAGTTCAAGACCAGCCTGGGCAACATGGCAAAAACCCATCTCTATGAAAATTAGTCAGGTACAGTGGCAGGCACCTATAGTCCTAGCTTCTCAGAAGGCTGAGATGGGAGGATTGCTTGAGCTTGGGAGGGTGAGGCTGTAGTGAATGGTGATCCTGCCACTGCACCCCAGCCTGGGTGACAGTAAGACTGTCCCCCCCACAAAAAAAATGATGGGATGGGTGTGGTGGCTCACACCTGTAATCCTAGCACTTTTGGGAGGCCAAGGCTGGTGGCTCACGAGGTCAAGAGATTGAGACCGTCCTGGTCAACATGGTGAAACCCCGTCTCTACTAAAAATACAAAAAATTAGCTGGGTGTGGTGGCACGTGCCTGTAATCCCAGGTACTCAGGAGGCTGAGGCAGGAGAATTGCCTGAACCCAGGAGGCGGAGGTTGCGGTGAGCCGAGATCGCGCCATTGCACTCCAGCCTGGGTAACAAGAGCAAAACTCCGTCTCAAAAAAAAAAAAAAAACTCTGTCTCTACTAAAAATACAAAAATTAGCCGGGCGTGGTGGCTCTCACCTATAGTCCCAGCTACTTGGGAGGCTGAGGCAGGAGAATTGCTTGAACCCAGGAGGTGGAGGTTGCAGTGAACCGGGATCAAGCCACTGCACTCCAGGCTGAATGACAGAGACTCCATCTCAAAATAAAGTTAAAATAATGATGGAGGGAAAGAAAACTTGATGAGATAGGAGTACTTGACTTTGACTTGTTTCATAAAGTACTTATTATTTTAATTTTTATTTTTCATAAAGGAAAATAAATTTTTTTCATTAAATCTATCCTTCTGAGCCAGGCGCAGTGGCTCACGCCTATAATCCCAGCACTTTGGGAGGCCGAGGCAGGTGGATCACGAGATCAAGAGATCGAGACCATCCTGGTCAACAAGGTGAAACCTGTCTCTACTAAAAATACAAAAATTACCTGGGCATGGTGGTGCACGACTGTAGTCCCAGCTACTCGGGAGGCTGAGGCAGGAGAACTGCTTGAACCCAGAAGGCGGAGGTTGCGGTGAGCCAAGATCGTGCCATTGCACTCCAGTCTGGGTAACAACAGCGAAACTCCATCTCAAAAAAAAAAAAAATCAGTACGGGCTCTGAGGCTCACACCTGTAATCCCAGCACTTTGGGAGGTCAAGGCAGACCGATCACAAGATAAGGTGTTCGAGACCAGTCTGACCAACATGGTGGAAACGCCATCTCTACTAAAAACACAAAAACTAGCCTAGTATGGTAATGCATGCCTGTAATCCCAGCTACTCAGGAGGCTGAGGCAGAATTGCTTAAACCTGAGAGGCAGAGGTTGCAGTGAGCCAAGATCCTGCCACTGCACTCCAGCCTGGTGACAGCAAAACTGCCTTAAAAAAAAAAAAAAAAAGCAAAGGCATCAGGTCCTGAGGAATCTAGGGACTTCGCCCAAGTCCATACTACACTTAGCAAAGCCAGGGGGATAAAAAAAAATGAATCTTTGAACTTCTCCAGGGTTTTGGTTTGGGTCAATAACTTTTGATTATGATATGCTGAATATCCAAAATGGAATTAAAATTATCTCTGCTTTCAAAGCACTCTGTAAGGAAGCCTTACAGAAATGTTCTAGTGGCTGGGCGTGGTGGCTCACCCCTATAATCCCAGCATTTTGGGAGGCCAAGGTGGGCAGATCACCCGGGTCAGGAGTTTGAGACCAGCCTGGCCAAGATGGCAAAACCCCATCTCTACTAAAAATAAAAAAAAAATTAGCCAGGCAGTGGTACCCACCTGTAGTCCCAGCTACATGGGAGGCTGAGGCACGAGAATTGCTTGAATCCAGGAGGCGGGGGTTGCAGTGAGCTGAGATCACCACTGTACTCCAGCCTGGAGACAGAGTGAGACTCCATCTCAAAAATAAAAATAAAAATTTAAAAATAATTTTGGTTGGGCGCGGTGGCTTATACCTATAATCTCAGCACTTTGGGAGGCTAAAGCAGGTGGATCACCTGAGGTTAGGAGTTTGAGACCAGCCTGGCCAACATGGTGAAACCCCATCTCTACCAAAAATACAAAAATTAGCTGGGTGTAACGGTGAATGCCTGTAATACCAGCTACTCCAGAGGCCGAGGCAGGAGAATCGCTTGAACCTGGGAGGCAGAGGCTGCGGTGAGCCAAGATCACAGCACTGCACTCCAGGCCTGAGCAATAGAGCAAGACTCCTTCACAAAAAAAAAAAAAAAAAAAAAAAAAAAAAAGACCAGGCACAGTGGCTCAGGCCTGTAATCCCAACACTTTGGAAGGCCTAGATGAGTGCCTTGGAGGTTGCAGCGAGCCACTGCACTCCAGCCTGGGCAACTAGAGCAAAATTCCCTATCAAAAATAAATAAATAAAGTTTTCAGTTACCTATTAACCACTTTTATCCATGGGACATCTTGTAACTACAGATGTTTCAAAAACTATCCCTTGATTTCAGCAAAACACCACCTTAACTGCACTCCATAAGCCTCCATGTCTCCAAGGGTATGCCCCCTCCACACTGATCAGCAGTTCAACCTCAGCCAAGTCAATTCCACTAAAATCTGCTCCTCTGTGAATTTCATAATCCCATTCTTGGTTTGCGGTTTGCTTGCTTTCTTCTTTTTCTTCTTCTTCTTCTTTTTTTTTTTTTTTTTGAGACGGAGTTTGTTACCCAGGCTGGAGTGCAATGGTGTGATCTCGGCTCACCACAACCTTCACCTCCTGAGTTCAAGCAATTCTCCTACCTCAGCCTCCCAAGTAGCTGGGACTACAGGCGCGCACCACCATGCCCACCTAATTTTTTGTATTTTTAGTAGAAATGGGGTTTCACCTTGTTGACCAGAATGGTCTCGATCTCTTGACCTTGTGATCCACCCGCCTTGGCCTCCCAAAGTGCTGAGATCATAGGCGTGAGACACCGTGCCCAGCCTCTTTTTTTTTTTAAAAAGACAGAGTCTCGCTATGTTTCCCAGGCTGGAGTGTGGTGGCGTGATCTCAGCTTACTGCATCTTCCACCTCCCAGGTTCAAGCGATTCTCCTGCCTCAGCCTCCAGAGTAGCTGGGACCAAAAGCACAAGCCACCACGCCTGGCTAATTTTTTGTATTTTAGTAGAGAGGGGGTTTCACCATGTTGCCCAGGCTGGTCCTGAACTCCAAAACTCAGGCAATGTGCCTGCGTCAGCCTCCTAAAGTGCTGGGATTACAGGCACAGGGGTAAGCCACCACGCCCAGCCCCCCCTTTTTTTTTCTCTGACACCCAGGATGGAGTGCAGTGGCTTGATCTCAACTCAATGCAACCTCTGCCTCCTAGGTTCAAGCAATTCTCCTGCCTCAGCCTCCCTGAGTAGCTGGGATTACAGACATGTGCCACCATGCTTGGTTAATTTCAGCCTCCCAAAGTACTGGAATTACAGACATAAGCTACCACACCCAGTCTCCTTACTTTTTTTTTTTTTTTTAAGAGACGGGGTCTCGCTATGTTGCCCAGGCTGAAGTGCAGTGGCTATTCACAGGCGCGATCCCACTACTGATCAGCACGGGAGTTTTGACCTGCTCCGTTTCCGACCTGGGCCGGTTCACCCCTCCTTAGGCAACCTGGTGGTCCCCCTCTCCTGGGAGGTCACCATATTGATGCCGAACTTAGTGCGGACACCCGATCGGCATAGCACACTGCAGCCCAGAACTCCTGGGCTCAAGGGATCCCCTCACCTCAGCCTCCTGAGTAGCTGGGACTACAGGCAGCGCCACCGCTCCAGGCTCCTTACTTTTTTTTTTTTTTGAGACGGAGGCTGGCTGCCCAGGCTGGAGTGCAGTAGCGAGATCTCAGCTCACCACAACCTCTGTCTCCTGGGTTCAAGCTATTCTCCTGCCTCAGCCTCCCTAGTAGTTGGGACTACGAGCTCATGCCACCATGCCTGGCTCATTTGTTTCATATTCTTAGTAGAGACGGGGTTTCACCATGTTAGCCAGGATGATCTCAATCTTCTGACCTTGTGATCCGCCCACATCAGCCTCCCAAAGTGCTGGGATTACACGTGTAAGCCACCGTGCTCGGCCCTTACTTAACTTCTATCTGTGCTCCTAACTCCATCAGGCAATTGAAGGGACATCCCTTGAATACTCCCAGCCTTTTCCGTGGCTGTTTCCTTTGTTTGAAATAACCTTCCACCTTCCCATCAACTGGCCAAATGGATACCTCTTCCTTTCAAGTCCCTGACATCCCATGAAAGCTTTCAGAAGCACTATACCCCAAAATTTCTGTCATTTGCATTATTTTCTATTTTCATGTCTAGTACCTACATACAACAGAAACAAAAGTTTCATGAGACAATATTACTGTGCATGCTATAATCTGATATTTTCATTTTCTTCCATTCTATTCTAATATTCCTGGCTGAAATCCATTAAGCCAGGTTTTTTTTTGTTGTTGTTGTTTTTAGACAGAATTTCGATCTTTCGCCTAGGCTGAAGTGCAGTGGCTCGATCTTGGCTCACTGCAACAGCCACGCCTGGCTGATTCTTGGTATTTTTAGTAGAGAAAAGAGAAAAATACTTGGCCTCCCAAAGTGCTGGGATTACAAGCATGAGCCACTGTGCCTGGCCTAAACCAGGTAATTTTATGTCTCTGACTAAGGAAATGACAGCCCCAAGTTTAAAAATAATTAACTAGGTAGGCCGGGCGCGGTGGCTCACGCCTATAATCCCAGCACTTTGGGAGGCCAAGGCGGGTGGATCACAAGGTCAAGAGATCGAGACCATCCTGGTCAACATGGTGAAACCCCGTCTCTACTAAAAAAAAACACACACAAAAATTAGCTGGGCATAATGGCACATGCCTGTAGTCCCAGCTACTCGGGAAGCTGAGGCAGGAGAATCGCTTGAATCCAGGAGGCGGAGGTTGCTGTGAGCCGAGATCGTGCCATTGCACTCCAGCCTGGGTGACAAGAGCAAAACTCCGTCTCAAAAAAAAAACAAAAACAAAAACAAAACAAAACAATTAACTAGGTATGGTGGCTCATGCCTTTAATCCCAGCATTTTGGGAGGCGGGTGGATCACAAAGTCAGGAGATCGAGACCAGCCTGGACAACGTGGTGAAACGCTTTCTCTACTAAAAATACAAAAATTAGCTGGGCGTGGTGATGCATGCCTATAGCCCCAGCTACTTGGGAGGCAGAGGTTGCAGCAGTGAGCCGAGATCGCATCATTTCACTATAGCCTGGCAACAGAGCGAGACTCCTTCTCAAAAAAAAAAAAAGTTAACTAAAAGAGGGGCTGGGTGGGGATGAAGTATGGGGAATAAAAATATAAACAACTAGGCCAGGTGGGGTGGCTTATGTCTATAATCCTAGCACTTTGGGAGGCGGGAGGATTGAAGCCAAGAGTTCAAGACCAACCTGGCCAACAAACCTAGCAAGACCCTGTCTCTATTCAACAGCAACTAACTATATTGTAAATAAAATCCTTGTGTTCCTTTTGCCTCTCCTTCCACCCAGGGCATACAATAGGCAATCACTCCAATAATTACTTGTTAAATTAAAACGAAAAAGGGGTCACAAACTCCGGAGTCTGGATGAGTAATATCATTAATTGAAAAGGGAGGGGTATAAGAATAGCCCAAGTGTGATGATAAATGGTATGTGACCTTCAGCCTCTGTGTCTGGGACACAATAGGGGAGTGGTGGGGACCTTAGGCAACCAGAGAACACAGCCCTGTCTAAAAGAGACAGCTGCTATTCAACTCCAGACAATTGCTGCCAGTTTAATGCCCAGTGTTGCCAGATAATTTGAATTTAGGACAAGTGGCAACTTAAGCTATTTTTGTACAATATCCCACATATTCACTACTGGCAACTCACTTTTAAAACCTAATATGTCAGTATGTGCCAAGAAAATACATCTGCCAGATGTGGACCTTGGTCTGCCAATCAGCAACTTCTAAATTAAAATTAACTTCTCAAGGAATCAAACTGAACTGACCAAATTTCAGAGAGACTATGTGTCACTCTATTCTGACCTGTAGCTTTTTAATTATAGTTTGAAGCAAAGACATAGAAGGAAAAGATTTTTTTCCTTGCTTGGAATTTTCCTGTTTTAAAAGACTGATTATTTCTACCTGTTCCCAGTCACTCAGTTCCTTATCAGCTCTGTCGCAAGTGACCTGTTGATACCACCAAGGCTAAAATGTTACTTTCTTTGAACCCTGCATTTTAGCATCTTAGCAAGACAGGTTTGTTCACTTACCTTGTTTACTAGAATTCAGTCTTGGTGAGTTCTATATAAAAATCATTTGTCAGCTGGGCATGGTGGCTCATGCCTGTAATCCCAGCACTTTCGGAGGCTAAGGCAGGCTGATCACTTGAGGTTAGGAGTTCAAGACCAGCCTGACCAATATGATGAAACCCCCGTTTGTCTGTAATCCCAGCTGCTCTAGAGGCAGGACAATCACTTGAACCTGGGAGGTGGAGGTTGCAGTGAGCCAAGATCGTGCCACTGCACTCCAGCCTGGGCAGCTAGGTATGGTGGCTCATGCCTTTTTTGAGCCAGTCTTGAGACAGCAAGACTCTGTCTCAAAATAAATAATAAATAAATTTTTAAACAATTTAAAAATGATTTTTCTTCAGTAGCCAACCACAGTTCTCCAAAGCCAATTTCTTTTGCACCTGCCGAAGAAATCAAATTGAGGAAATATTCTCTTAAATAACTTCAAAGAAACAATACAGAATTTCTTGCCCTGGAATGTGTATGAGAGGGTGACTCACTCTGAGAGTTAACTGAGGCCAATTATGACCAGCCTGATTTGTTATGGCACCACATCTTGCTTACTCTCAGACAGGGGATGTGCCCCCCACCTTCTCCCTGCCTCACCTGCTTGCTCATGGAGCTCACCATTTTGCAAGCATGGTGCATGCCTTTCAACATATGATTATTCAAAATGGGAGGGGAATCTGGAATGCCTGAGTAGGCATTTAGCTCACAATTATACCCTGGCAAGATGTAATCACACACTGGGTACAAGCGGGGAGGAAAAAAAACTTCCTCCTCACCACACGATAAATGGAGACATCAGCAGTTAAGAAGGGTGGTTACCTTTTTCCCCCCTCTTTTATCTTTCCTTACTTACATGCTAACCTTTTCCCAGAGCTCCCACCAAGGAGGCTGGATTTATCATTTCATTCTAATACTGCTGCTGAAGGCTCGTATCTTTCCAGTGTTGCAGAGGAGATTCGATTAAACGCACAAACACCCAGAAATTCATGGTCTTCCTTCTAAGGATTCAGTTTGCCCACCCTCAGCCTGTCCAGAATGGTAGATGTCTACCCTTTAACTGCTTATATGTACTCCAGCTGTCCTTCCTGAGGTGCCCTAGGACAACTTGCCTCAGCTCACCTACACCATTGTCAGAGGTTTCACATTGGAGAGTGCACACCATACTGAGCACCGGATATGCATATGATGCAGTTTGGCCAAACACTTACATTTAAATTAAAAATAGCAATGATTTGAGCCAGGCTTTACATACAGCATCGTACTTAATCCCCCACACGAGTTACATTTTATAGATGAGGAAACTGAGGTTTAGTGATGTCGAGAGTTTTGCTGCATGAAATTAAGATCACACAGTAGGTAACACAACTGGGATGTAAGTCCACCTATTTCTATGGCTGCCTTAATCAATGACTACAAATACCAGCATCCCTTGCCATGCCCGCTGGTGCAAACGCACACTCCCAAGGACCCAGTTCTAACGCTGGATCCTAAACCCAATCAGACACCGCCTCTCTCTGTCCCCCGACCAATGGGAAGGCTGTTGCTAACACGCCGGCTATATTTTTAGCTTTCGGTGATCTGGGAGCTTGTGGGTCGGCTAAGCCTCCTGCCTGGTGGAAAGAGCTAGGGGAGAAGAGGGAATGGGAGGGGAGAGGAGGGGATGAGGAAGGGAAGGGTGCAGCGGGGCTGTGCGGGAGGGGGCGTGTGTGTGACGCTGTCACTCGCTGACGCACAAGGCAAGTAGTCCCTGGAGGTGCCCCTGGGGTTGCGGCGCTCCGAGTGTGGGGGATGGGGGGACGCTCAGGTTCCCTCTCGCCTCCCAGTCTCGGTGGAGTTTGCCCTCTAGCCCTTCATTTTTCTGCTGCATTCAGGGAAAGTGCATTTAAACCCCCACGCTACCGGTCTCTTTGCCCTTGCCAAAAAAAGCGATCAAGGAAAAAAAAATGCAAACTGTTCGTAGCTGGAAACTTTCGGATCTCGCCACCCAACGTAGGCTTGGCGGCTGCTGCTCGGCCGGAACCGTCTGGAATGACAAAAAAGGTGGGGGCGGGGAGGGGAGAACTGGGAAATGGGTCATCTAAGGAGGGACTGGGGCGAACACCCTACGCACAGTTCCTCGGGGGCTCCGGACTGCAACTTCTGGCAGGTGTCTGCCTGTGACCGCAGAACACAGCCCTCTCTATCCCTAGCTCTGTGTCCCGCACAGTCACAAAGAGGCAGAGCAGCCCGCGTGGCCAGAGGCAGGACAGGGGGCCTCAGGGCGCGGGGCTAGTGCGCCCAGTCCTGAGTTCGCCGAGCCTCGCTCCGCCGCCCGAGGGGCCGTAGTGGCTGCGAGCCCGGCACCCCTTGCACGGTCAGGGGCTACTTCACGCCAGCGAGACTGACTAGAAGAAATGTGGTTCTCCCGCGTGCCCCACACTGGGGTCGCCAGCCACGGAGAGCAAACCCCGGTAGAGAGAGGGGCTCGCTCCCGCGCGCCTGCGCAAAGCCGGCGCCGGGCCTCCCGACTGCTAGTAAAGGAGCCCCAGAGGCGGTGAGGGGAAGGTCTATTGTAGCGCTCAGCTCGTTTTCCCAGCCGTCGGCCTAGTCCTCGCCTCTTCCTCCCGCACAGCGCGGCTCAGGTCCCAGAGGTCCCCCTGCCCTTCTTTCGACATTGAGTACCCCGAGGAGGCACGAGGCGACTGTCCCCTGAGCTCCCCCTCCGCGGAAGCCGTAACTGGGGCGATACGAGCGCCGCGGGCAGGGCCAAACACCCGGAGCTGGAGGAAGGCCCCGGGAAATGGCTCGGGCAAAGTTCCGAACCGTGTACGCTGAGGCAGGTGCAGGGCGAAGGAGTCAGCTGGGAAGTTCCCGGAGGGTCTGGTGACTCCGTTCCTTCCCCCGTGACACTCGTCCCTCAAACAACTAAAGAAAGCACTGTGTCCGGCCTGGGAGCAACCTGGCCTCAGGCCGCCCTCAGCCCTCTCGGAGCGCCTGTCCTCAGGGAGAACACCTCACACGACGCGCACAAGTTCAGAGTGTGGCGTGGAAATAAAAAGGAGAGCGGCGCGTCGCTGTGACGGGAGGGAAAGGCGGGAGCCGAAACGAGTAAGGCTCCGCGTGCACCAAGGGGGCGAGGAATGGCTCCGCGCGGTACCAGCAGGCTGAGGCGCTAGGGGGGGGGCTGGCAAGTAGTCCCGGCCGGGCTCCGGCCCCGCCCCTGCAGGGCGGAGGGACGCATCACGCAGGGGTGGGGAAGCCGGATCCGTGCGCAGGGTTGCTAAGGGTGAAACTTTTCATTGACTTTGCTCACTTCGGGACAGGGCGCGGGAAGGTGTGGGTTGTTATTGGGGACACTCACTCGGGCTCGGGCGGCGCGGGGCCAGAAGGGCAGGACCGCCCGTCGGCGACAGCCCAGACCGTCTTCCGTTCCGCGACACGAACCACCCTCCAGTCCGCCATCCCCGCGCCGTCGCCGCTGGTCCGTCCGCCTGATCTCCGTCCCCACGCCGCCGAGCCCGACCTCCTAAGAGCTGAAAGAAATTCTTGCGATTCCTAGCCCATAGCCCCCTGCTTCGTCCCCAACCCTCAACGACGAAAAGGACTTTGGTCCCCGACCGGCCGGCACCCGGGAAGGAAGGGAGAGAGACCTCCGCCCCGCGCCCAGGACCACGCTGGAGGGAGAAGCCGCCCCGAGGCCGGCAGAGTGCCCCGCCGCCGCGGAGCCCCGAGTGAGTGAGTGGGGGGGCGTGCGGGTGGGCGGGGGGCCCGCCCCGAGACCCAGCCGGCCTGACCACCTCTCCCATCCCGCCCCACTCCCGCTTTGCTGGACTCTCCACGTTGCTGCTGCCCCCTCCCCCGCCTGGCCAGCATTTTCTTTCCCCCTCCAGCTCTTCCCTAGACCCCCCTTTTCCCTGCTCCTCTCCTCACGCCATCTCTGCTCCTGGGGTGCCCAAGAGCTCCCTTTTCTCCCAGTTCCAAGAGTGGCCCTCTCTTGGGTGGGGTGCATTTCCTCCCTTCTCCGCCTCCCCCAATTCTTTATATCCCAGCTACTCGCTAGATCTTCCGTGTTCGCCAAAGAAACGTAACTCCCCCCACCGTTAAATAAACCCGAGGAAGGAAAGGGATCCAGGCCTTGTTTTTCTGCTTCTTTTCCCATGTGCAGGGAAGGGGGGTGGTAATTGTTAATAGGCTCTATTTCTGGCTCTGTGAAGCCTGAAGGGTGGAGGTGGGACACCCCCTTTGGCGACAGAACAGGTCAGTGGAGACTGTCCTTGGGCCACTGAGTCAGAGTTCACCATTTCGGCTTGAGCTCTTTATACTCTTCAGTGTTTTAAGGGAAAACTGGACAGAAAAAAAAGTCCCCTTAAACCAGTGCCAGTGAATGGATTTTGGTTATTTTGGTAAGGTGCCTGTAAGGTGGGAGCCCTACCCCCAGACTCCTTCCCCTCCTGTCCGGAGGGTGAACTGTGCCCTTGACCACCAGAAATCTGGAGGGGAAGGAGGGTGCAGAGAGGAGGCACTGCCTGCAGGCCTTCTCCCTCCCCCAGGAGAAACCAGAACCCCACACACAGCAAGCTTCAACTTGGGTACTGGCAGAGGCCAGGTCTCTGGTGCTGCTCCGTACCTAAACGGTCTTTTTCTGCTTCTCACCCACGGAACCCTGGGAATGGGTCCCTCATCTCTGATTTTCCAGCAGAAAAACAACCCTATTGCTTTCTTGGGCGTCTGCCCCCATTCCTTCCATTAAGCACGGGGAAAGAAGCTTGTGTAGGAGGATGGATTAAGGAGGTTTAACACCCAGTAGTGGAGCTTGCTGAGGATCTGGTAAGTCTGGTCGTAGAGCAGACCTTGCAATGGGAGGAGATACACAGAATCTTAGTATGAGAAGATGCTCAGGTGTCAGGTGTACAGTTTTTTTTTTCTTCTCTGCCTGGGAACCTTTTCCTATTTCCCTCTCCCGGATCTGGTTACTCAGAGTTGGATTAGAAATGGGGTGAGGCTTGGTCCCTGCTGGCCTTGGCCCGGCGCCTCCCCACAGCTTGACTGGAAATTTCTTTGGCCGAGAGGACGGGAGAACTGGGTTTGATTCCTGCCTTTCCTTTCCTGGCTGTTGGGGTGTTAGAGCTGAGTCTGCTAGGCATTAAGTGAAAAGGCTTGTTTCCCTTTGAATCCATCCAGCAACCCCAGACGGACCGCCCAGGCTCTGGAATTCCGGTTAAGGTGGTGGGAGGAGGGGGTCATGACCTTATCTAAGCCGGCCCGCTCCCTTCACCCAGAAAATACTCTTCAGAAGCAGATCCTAGTTTCAACAGTGATGGGAGGCGATGAAAGGAAAGGTGGGAAAGTTAGGCTCTCGTAAAGCCTAGAGGATGTAGTGGGGCCATACAATACGGGGAGTAGGCCTTCTGGGTAGAATCTATATGAAATGTATTAGGCGATGGGAGGGGGCGCCGGCAGCCACAGTGCGCATGTGCATCGGAAACTTTTCCTGGGCTGTCCGACCCTCGGTCAGCTCCCATTACCGGGCATGCGTAATGCAGCCAGTTAGGCCTTCACAAAGTACTCAGGGAAGTGTAGTGTGCAGAGAAAGTAGGTCACTCGCTGCCGCCGGGTCCGGAGGCGTTCGAGGACTACAACTCCCAGAGTGCAGAGCGGGCCCTCACCGCCGGCCTCCCCACCTACTTTGGGGTTGACTGGAGTTTTCCTGGCTCCTGAGGAATATGGAGTGCCCTAGAAAGGATCTTCTTAGCCGAAAGGGGCCTTGTAGTCAGACCTAGGGTTGACCAGTCTATGTTTAGGGGAGATGATGTGAGACTGGGAGTGGTGGTGTAGTCAGTCAGCATCAGTCCTGGAAGCCTTTCATCTCACACTCGCCCTTCTGGGCCGCTGCCCTTGGGACCAGCGAGTTGGGGCGGATCCTGGGTCTCACTAAAAAGAGGAACTGCCTGCGTTTGGCTCTCACTCCCCGGGCAGCGCCAGGGCACTCGCATCCACCCGGTCTGTGACACCTACTCAGTTGAGTCCCGTAGTCCTTCATTGTAGGACAGTTTGCGGGTTAAGGCTTAGAGGTGTCTGAATATCTTTCTGGGTTTGGGGCTCAGTGGATTCCATCACCGGTATTCCTCCGTTACTTCTTTGAAACACAATTGTCTTTTAAAAAATCTTCCAGCTGCGAGCGGTGGCTCACACCTGTAATTGCAGCACTTTGGGAAGCGGAGGCAGGCGGATCACTAGCTTGGGAGTTCGAGACCAGCCTGGCCAACATGGTGAAACCACCCTGCTCTACTAAAAATACAAAAATTAGCTGGGCGTAGTGGCACACGCCTGTAACCCCAGCTACTCAGGAGGCTGAGATAGGAGAATCGCTTGAACCAGCTCTGGGCAACAGAGCAAGAGTCTGTCTCGGGGTGGGGGTGGGGAGAACTTCCTTCACTCTGACAGTAGAACATGCATGCGCCCGCGCGCGCACACACCTTCCTCACATTTTTTTTTTCTTTTTCTTTTTTGAGACGGAGTTTCACTCTTGTTAACCAGGCTGGAGTGCAATGGCGCAATCTCTGCTCACTGCAACCTCCGCCTCCTGGATTCAGGCAATTCTCCTGCCTCAGCCTCCTGAGTAGCTGGGATTACAGGCACGTGCCACCATGCCCAGCTAATTTTTTGTATTTTTAGTAGATACGGAGTTTCACCTTGTTGACCAGGATGGTCTCGATCTCTTGACCTCGCGATCCACCCGCCTTGGCCTCCCAAAGTGCTGGGATTACAGGCTTGAGCCACCATGCCCGGCCGCTTTTTTTAATAGGTTGACAAAAGGGAGATTTGCTGTTTTTTTGTTTTGTTTTGTTTTTTGGTTTTTTTTGAGATGGAGTTTTCGCTGTGGTTACCCAGACTGGAGTGCAATGGCACGATCTCGGCTCACCGAAACCTCTGCCTTCTGGGTTCAAGCAATTCTCCTGCCTCAGCCTCCCGAGTAGCTGGGACTACAGGCGTGCGCCACCATGCCCAGCTAATTTTTGTATTTTTAGTAGAGATGGGGTTTCATCCTGTTGACCAGGATGGTCTCGATCTCTTGACCTCATGATCTACCCACCTCGGCCTCCCAAAGTGCTGGGATTATAGGCGTGAGCCACTGTGCCTGGCCAAGATTTGCTGTTATTAAACACCTCATCGTTTTTATCCTTTTGCTCCCTTTTTGGCCATTTGTGCCTACATTGGGGTTGGAAAAGATCTCAATGTCCTCTGCAGTCGCTTAATGAATCCCTTTACTTATTCCCGTTATTGACAGGTAGTTATTTCTAAGTTTTCTAATCTTAATATACTTCCATAAATATTTTATATGTAAGCTCTAGAATTTGTTCATAGCTTTTTAAAAAATGAACAAACTCCACTGAATGGCCACTCCTATCTTTAGCTAAAGACAGGCTAGCACCAGTGCTTTAATCCTCTGCTCCATAAGCTTCTTGCAGTCAAAATTAGAGCCTGAGCTGATAGAGCAGAAAATCTCATTCTGGTTGTCCATCATTTTTGTAAGGTTCCACCCCACAGCCATCTGGTCTGGCCTGTTCTCTAATTAAAGAGGCAAAGGTGGCATTATATACTTCCTTATTTGTGCGGCAAGATCACCGAGGTATAAACTGGTGTGCAGCTTTATTTGCTTATGCTTCAGAAAATGGTTAGCTAGGCAGGGCTGATGACAGTGGTTCTATTGTATTTTGGGGTGGGAGGCTTATTTCCCAATGACTTTGTCCTGCATTTAAAATGCTCCCATTTTGAGGCTGAACTGTTCAGGGTAGTTAACTTGGAAGGCAATTATTCAGCCAGGTTTTCGGAGGTCTAGAAAGGTGTAGAAGCTCTTTGCTCTCAGTGTAACACCAAGAGGTGTATTTTAAGAGGCCACATGGTGCCTTGGGAGAGAGATATCATAGGTTGACTTCAGTCTGTTTTAGATTTCAAACAGTATTTGGAATCAAATACTTTTAGACAGTATTTGGAAATACTGTCTTTAACACCAGGTTCCATTCTGGACAACCAGTATCAACTTTCCTGACAGCTTTTTTTTGGGGGGTTGGGAGGCAGAATCTCACCGTCACCCAGGCTGGAGTGCAGTAGCTCCACTTCAGCTTACTGCAGCCTCTGCCTCGCAGGTTCAAGTGATTCTCCTGCCTCAGCCTCCCGAGTAGTGGGATTACAGGTACATGCTTGGCTAATTTTTGTGTTTTTAGTAGAGATGGGATTTCACCATGTTGGCCAGGCTGTTGTTGAATTTCTGACCTCAAGTGATCCACTTGCCTTGGCCTCCCAAAGTGCTGGGATTACAGGTATGAGCCACCACACCTGTCTCTTCACAACTTTTTAGTCTGCTTCATGTTTGACACATCTATGGACCATGTGGCCCTTTCAGACTTCCATTCCTGAGAGAAGGCCCATGGTTCTGGTGGCTAGCTTTGTATCTGCTGATGAGCCTGATCCTCATAAACCGAAAGCCCTTTATTCTTTTTATTATGATTACTTTTTAAAGCCCAAAAAAGTCCTGAAATTGATCTGTGTTGATCATGAATAGACATTTGAGGCTGAGGCATATGGATGGCTTGAACACGTTAGTTCAAGAACAGCCTGGGCAACATGGCCAAACCCCATCTCTACATAAAAATTAAAAAAAATAAAATTAGGCCAGGCATGGTGGCTCAACCTGTAATCCCAGCACTTCGGGAAGCTGAAGCGAGTGGATCACCTGAGACCAGGAGCTGGAGACCAGCCTGGCCAACATGGTGAAACCCCATCTCTACTGAAAATACAAAAATTAGCCAGATATGGTAGCATGTGCCTGTAATCCCAGCTACTCGGGAGGCTGAGGTGGGAGAATCGCTTGAACTCAGGATGCGGAGGTTGCAGTGAGCTGAGATCATGCCACTGCACTCCAGCCTGAGCAATAGAATGAGACTCAGTCTCAAAATAAATAAATAGATAAATAAATTAAGTTAAAATGCCCCTTAAAAGCCATGGGCCCAGGCCTGAGAATTACAGGGAAATGTGTTGGGGTGGGTGTTTAGAAAACTCCAAATCCCCAAGCCTGAAATTAGCACCTGGGTACTTCAAACTGGATCCAGAAAGGATTTGAATCAAGATCCAGCCTGGAATCTTTAACAGGACAGAAGATGCCCTTGACAGATCATGGAACAGTCATGTCTCTGTGCTTAGCTCAGCAGTACAGCGTTGCCCAGAGGTCTGGCTAAGAGCATGTTCTGGTTCTGCCTCCCCTCAGAGCCAGTTCTTTCAGTTCAGTTTCTACCCCAGCATGAACCCTGGAGTTGCCCTTTTGGAGAAAATGAGATTAGGATCACAGGCTCACAGGACCTTACAGATCATCTTCCTGAGACATGAGGCTGGCTCAGGCTGAGGGAATAAACCTTTTTGACCTCAGTGGGATCTGGCTGTGAGAGAATCCCAAAATAACAATCTGGTGTTTATCTTGGGCTGCCTTTTCTCTAAGCATCTCCAAACACTTGATAAATCTGATCTGATGCCGAGGACAGGTGGTCAGACAGTCTCTGGGAGACTGAGTGATGATGGGTCCCTGCTGGAGGCTGCAGGGTGATGGAAAATTTCTTTCCTCTGCCACCCTCATCACTTACACTCTCACCAGAAACTACAGAGATTCCCACTCCTGTCCTCTGCTTCCCTGGGGCAGCCTCCAGTGAGCACTTCCCTTGTTGGTCCACATCTCTGGTTGTGACAGGTCTTGCCTTTTTCCTGGGGCTCATGCTCTTTTCTTTTTTTTGAGACAGAGTTTTGCTCTTGTTGCCTAGGCTGGAGCAATGGCATGATCTCGGCTCACTACAACCTCTGCCTCCCAGGTTCAAGCAATTCTCCTGTCTCAGCCTCCCAAGTAGCAGGGATTACAGGTGCCCGCCACCATACCCGGCTAATTTTTTTTTTTTTTTTTTTCAAGACAAAATCTCACCCTGTTGCCCAGCCTGGAGTGCAATGGTACAAACTCCGCCTCCCGGAGGGTTCAGGTGATTCTCCTGCCTCAGCCTCCTGAGTAGCTGGGATTGCAAGCGTTTGTCACCATACCCAGCTAATTTTTTTTGTATTTTTAGTAGAGATGGGTTTCACCATGTTTGCCAGGCTGGCCTTGAACTCCTGACCTCAGGTGATCCACCCGCCTCGGCCTCCCAAAGTGCTGGGATTGCAAGCATGAGCTACTGCATCCAGCCAGTTTTTGTATTTTTTAGTAGAGACAGGGTTTCACCATGTTGGCCAGGCTGGTCCTCAACTCCTGACCTCAGGTAATTCACCTGCCTCGGCCTCCCAGAGTGGTGTTCAGATTACGGGCATGAGCCATGGCGCCCGGCCCATTCTGTGGGGTTCTTTTTTTTTTTTAAGATGGGGTTTCACCATGATGGCCAGGCTGGTCTTGAACTCCTGACCTCAGGTGAATCACCCACCTTGGCCTCCCAAAGTGCTAGGATTACAGGCGTGAGCCACAGCACCCAGCCTCTGTGGAGTTCTTTTTTTGTTTGTTTTGTTTTTTGTTTTGAGATGGAGTTTCGCTCTTGTTACCCAGGCTGGAGTGCAATGGCGCGATCTTGGCTCACTGCCGCGATCTCAGCTCCACCGCACCTGGCCCTCTGTGGAGTTCTTAAATCAGTTCTGCAATCCTGGACTGAGCCAGACAGCATACACACCCATGGGGCCCATGATGACACATGGATGTGACTGGAGTCCAGGTCCCCAGTGAAAAATTGGCAGTGCTCCTTTCTGTACAGTGACCTGTATCCCTTTTCATTTAAGGAGGACAACCAAAGATTTTAAATTTACATCTTAGTCTGACAGTTTGGGAGCATGACTTATACTAAGATATTGTCGAGACAGCAAGAGCCTTCTCTTCACCTGATTTAAGGACTTGATTTTTTCAGTGTCATTCATACAGTGACCTGAATTCTCAAGATGGTGGAAAACACAGCTTCCCTATTTGTTTAGAATTACTTAAAAATAGTAGCTAACTGGGCCAGGCGTGGTGGCTCACGCCTATAATCCCAGCACTTTGGGAGGCCAAGGCAGCTGGATCACGAGGTCAAGAGATCGAGACCATCTCAATCACAAGGTGTTTCACAAGGTGAAACACCGTCTCTACTAAAAATACAAAAAATTAGCTGGGCATGGTGGCGCACGCCTGTAATCCCAGCTACTCTGGAGGCTGAGGCAGGAGAATTGCTTGAACGCAGGAGGCGGAGGTTGCAGTGAGCCGAGATCGCGCCATTGCACTCCAGCCTGGGTAACAAGAACAAAACTCTGTCTCAAAAAAAAAAAAAAATAGTAGCTAACTTTATCAATTAGCCAGGTACATTGTGAGGCAGTTTATATCTTGAACTAAACTTCATGATAGCCTCTTGTTACTAGTGAGGAAACTAGGGCCCACAGTCACTGGTAGGGCAGAAATAAGCTTCTGGGTCTGTGTGATCCAAAGTTGGTGCTTTTCTTCTATCCTTAGCTATTGATTACCACCAGCTTTCTGCATATCTTCTCATGGTGCCTATCCTCATTTCCCAGAGCCGTCTGGAGCCCAAGGCTGTGCACGTGCGCTGTCCTGATTCTCTGCCTAGGAAAGGACCATGCAGCTAGAAATCAAAGTGGCCCTGAACTTCATCATCTCCTACTTGTACAACAAGCTGCCCCGGCGCCGGGCAGACCTGTTTGGGGAAGAGCTAGAGCGGCTTTTGAAAAAGAAATATGAAGGCCACTGGTACCCTGAGAAGCCACTGAAGGGCTCTGGCTTCCGCTGTGTTCACATTGGGGAGATGGTGGACCCTGTGGTAGAGCTGGCTGCCAAGCGGAGTGGCCTAGCAGTAGAAGATGTGCGGGCCAATGTGCCTGAGGAGCTGAGCGTCTGGATTGATCCCTTTGAAGTGTCCTATCAGATTGGCGAGAAGGGAGCTGTGAAAGTGCTGTACCTGGATGACAGTGAGGGCTGTGGTGCCCCAGAGCTGGACAAGGAGATCAAGAGCAGCTTCAACCCTGATGCCCAGGTATTTGTGCCCATTGGCAGCCAGGACAGCTCTCTGTCCAACTCCCCATCACCATCCTTTGGCCAGTCACCCAGCCCCACCTTCATTCCCCGCTCTGCCCAGCCCATCACTTTCACCACCGCCTCCTTCGCTGCCACCAAATTTGGCTCCACTAAGATGAAGAAGGGGGGCGGGGCAGCAAGTGGTGGGGGTGTAGCCAGCAGTGGGGTGGGTGGCCAGCAGCCACCACAGCAGCCTCGCATGGCTCGCTCACCCACCAACAGCCTGCTGAAGCACAAGAGCCTCTCTCTGTCTATGCATTCACTGAACTTCATCACGGCCAACCCAGCCCCTCAATCCCAGCTCTCGCCCAATGCCAAGGAGTTTGTGTACAACGGTGGTGGCTCACCAAGCCTATTCTTTGATGGGGCCGAGGGCCAGGGCAGTGGCACCACAGGCCCTTTTGGAGGCAGTGGGGCTGGCACCTGCAACACCAGCAGCTTTGACATGGCCCAGGTATTTGGAGGTGGTGCCAACAGCCTCTTCCTGGAGAAGACGCCCTTCGTGGAAGGCCTCAGCTACAACCTGAACACCATGCAGTATCCCAGCCAGCCGTTCCAGCCCGTGGTGCTGGCCAACTGACCATCTACGTGCCCCTAGGGTCAGGAGCACCCAAGACCACAGAAAAGAGAAAGGAAAGGAAAGGTCAAAACAAGGAAAAGAAAAATGTACAAAAAGATTTTCAATCTTCTCACTCTCACTTCTAGAAAAAATGCGGTCCAGGCATGGAATGGGAGGGCCCCACAAAGCACCGAAGTGTGTTTTACTCACCCCCTACTGCTCGCCCACTGGCCTGTGATTTATTTGGTTGGTTTGGGTTTTATATTTCTTTTTTTTTCTTCTTCTTACATGTAGTTTTCTATATAACATCTTTAATGAGTGGCTTCCTGTGCTAAGAATGGTCCAGATGTGAATTGCTGCTCCCTGCTCCTCCCTACCTCCTTCACACTCCTGGTTTAGGATTGGTGTGTCCAAGCTCACAGGGAAGGAAGAGCTGCAGCTGAAGCCTAATCCTCCCTGAAACAAGGAGAGGCTGGCTCATGTCACTGCCTCTGTCACCCACCTATCCTTGCACTCAAAGCCTTCCAACCTCAGCAGGCCTTCTCGGGCCTCGCCACCTGAATAGGTCTGACCCCAGTCCCTGCTCTCTTTCAGGCTGGGCCACAGGGAGCTAGCTACCAGCTGGCCACTTGACACCCTCTCCTTAGAGCTGATGTCTGTGACTACAGGGAAGTTAGCATTTGTCTAGTGGAACTGCTTTCATCTCTGTCCTGTGGCCCCACCCTACCATTCCCTCCAGTCCCAGACCATCACCATGGCCCTGGCCACCTGGCCATCGATGCATATGGCCTTTCTTTCCCTCATGTGGCCCCTTCTTCCCCAGGCCAGAGGTTGTGGGTAGGGAGGGGTGTGTGTGTATGTGTGTATTTGGTTTGCTGTCCTTTTTTAAAGGATTCCAAGCCATGTGAAACTTCCCTTCTGCATGTGATTCTGGGTTGCAACAAGTGCTTCTTTATGTGTGAGGCTGGGGAATAGGCTAGGGGTATTGGTAGTCCTTTTGCAGGGCAATGTTCGTGGCGGCATGACACCACTGTGGCTGAGCCTGAGACACTCCTGTAGAAAGCACTGCAGAAGGAACTGGTTTGCAGACGTGGAGGGATCTGCACTTTTGTTTTTGACCAAAAAAAAAAAAAAAGGGTTAGCTTTGAAGGGCAGAGGGAATACCCAAGCCCTTGATGCCTATGAGAAGTCCCTGGACTTCAACCCTCCTGTTGTATGACCTTAGCTCAGTGAGAGCTGCTCACCTGAGCACCCTTAGGGGTGGGCAGGGAGGCAGAATGGGATTTTGGCGTTAGTGTCTGTGTGGGGCAGCCCTGAGCCTGGAGTTGAGACTTTAGGTCTCTTGGTTGGAGGCGTTATTTGAGTGCATTTGTGCCCCTGCCAGGTTGAGAGTTTCTCCGTACCTCTTGCCATCACCTCTCACAGCCCTGACCCAACCCCAACCTTGATGCTGTGAGGAGTGGTGTCCTGACAGGGATTCAGCACTCCCAGGTGATGCATTGGATCATAGGAGAGTGCTTGCTCTTCTGCTGCTGCCAGGAGAGGGCTTGTTCCTCACACCCTAGGAGGCCAGGCAAGCATGGACAGGAGCCAAGGGAGCAGGGTCATGAACTTTTTCTAAAGTGGGGCACTTGGAATCAGGGTCTCATGACCAAAGCCCCTGGCACCACACTCACTCCATCCTACCCAGGGACCCCAAGTAGGCAACTGCTATGGCAGTGGGTCCAACCCAGGCCGGCACTGCCAGCCTCCTCTCCCTGCAGTAGGCACCAGCTCTACCTCCCTTGGCAGGCAATCCCCTGGCTTCCCAGCCCAGCACCATCTGTTCCCCTAGACTTCTCAGGAGCCAGCCCAGTCTCGGCCACCGTTTCCCTTGTCCCCGGCTCCCACACAGGTGACAGGCCCAGCAGATAGCTTCTCTCTGGGAAAGGTTGGATACTGCCTTATGTCCCCTTCTAGCCCTCCCATCCATACACACAGGTGCCCACCCGCACCAGGTCAGCTTGTTGCTCACATGTAGGGAGAGGGGGGAGGCCAACCCCTTTGTGTCTTTTGAAATATGGAGAAAAATGTGTGTTCAGGAGCATGACTCCAGTGCTGGGCTCTTGGGCCCAGTTCAGTCTGTCTTGTCTCAAATCTAGGCATTTTTGCTTCAATTTTATTTTTTTTAAGAAAACAAAAACAGAAATCTGCACTAATTTACCTGGTTTCATAGGAAAACTTTTTTTTTTATTTTTTACATTTTTTGGTGTCCGTTTGTATTGAATAATTTGCTACATTTGTAAAATGTAAGAGGTATATATAATATATGTATATTTCTAACGTAAAAAACATACTTTTTTTCTTTTCAAGATTTTTTCTTAAAAAGATGAGAGAAACATATTTTTTCAGGAAAAACAAACTTTTAAAAAAAGAGGAGAATAAAACGTTTTCTCCCCTTTCCCCATCCTCTGTCTATCCCTCTTTCCCAGGAACAAATCAAAAGGTGGATTATCTCGTGAAGAATGGAAACTGTTAGTCCAGAATGATGTCTTTTTCTCAATGCAGTGAGTTGTAGATTCTCTAGTTTTCTCCCTAGGGATGGGAAGGGGGCATTGAGGCACGCCTGAAGAGGAGCCCGGGGAGCAGGGTCATGAACTTTTCTTTAGTGAAGGAGGAATACAATCAAGGGTTTTGTATTCAGAATGTTGTGCAATATTTTGGAATGGGACGTTGGTGTGTTTAGAGATTTTAGTTTAAAAACAGAACAAAAAGATCAAATCTGTACAGTTTCTATTGTTCCAGATTTTTTTAAGTTTGTATTAAAAGCATGATATATGATAGTCTTCTGCCTGCTCTTGGCTTTCTTGGTTTCTGGGGTCCCTTTTGGGAGAGAATGGGATTGGCATAGCCCTTATAGGCTCCAAGAAATGATTGGTCCTCCTTACAGTGACTGAGCCCAGGATGTACATAACTGTCCTGGTGCCCCTCTTTGACCACCTATCCATCCCATCAACACAGGATACTTAAGTGTGCCTGCCACCCCAGATGCTTTTCTACACTGGAAATGGTTCCACGAAGTTAGGAACTGCTCCAGTTCCCTCAGCCAATTGGTGGTGATGCCAGGGCTGGGAGCAGAGCCTGGAGAATGGGGTACCTCTTCATGGCTCTTTAGGAACTGCCTATTCCTGGGGAGAGATGAGGGGCAGCTTCCAGCCTGCTTTAGATCTAGCACTTAATCATTAGTACTAGAACCTTAGATGTAGGCAAGGATGAGAACAGCTCACATAAGCCAGGATCCATCCAAAAGCCTGGTGCTTGGATTCTTAGCCCTTTTCTTGAATTGGCTAGACAATTTCAAAGCTGCTTTAAGAATAAGACAGCCCAGCTTGGAGAAAGCCACCCTTCTGCCAGTGGCCGATTTCCTTGGGAGCTTAGCCATCTCCCAGTGTCCCAGGCCATATTTTGTCCTTCCCTGGGCCTGTGCCCATTAATGCTGCCCATCTAGGAGGGAAACATCTCTATATACCATCTCCCACCAGTGTGCACTGCACTGCCAAGACCCCTGGGCTGAAGTGAGCTCAGAATATTTGTGAAGTTATTTCATTTTTTTTTTTCAATTGCACAGGGTCTTGAACTGGCCTCAAGCAATCCTCCCACCTCAGCCTCCCTCTCAAAGTACTGGGATTACAGATGTAAGCCACTGTTCCCCATCCTGTTGAATCTTATTTCATCCTCAGAGGGATTGTGTCCGTTTTGCATTTAAGAAATAGGCTGCGTGTGGTGGCTCACATCTATAATCCCAGCACTTTGAGAGGCCAAGGCAGCCAGATCACTCGAGGTCAGGAGTTCGAGATAAGCCCAGCCGACATGGATAAAACCCGTCCCTACTCAAAAAATATAAAAATTAGCCAGGTCTGGTGGCAGGTGCCTATAATCCCAGCTACTGGGAAGCTGAAGCACTAGAATTGCTTGAACCCAGGGGGTGGAGGTTGCAGTGAGCCAAGATCATGCCATTGCACTCCAGCTTGGGGAACAGAGTGAGACTCCATCTCAAAGAAACAAAAAAGAAATAGGGTCTAATTTAGATTACCTTAGATTCACAAAACTAGTAAGTTGTAAAGATTTTGACTCATGTCTGACTTTTCCATTTATGAATCCAAGTGATACTGAGCAGTGTCAGCCCTTGTCCACTGGAGAATAAGTCACAGTGCTTGCCTTCCCAGAGCTGACGTCTCATACACATTTGATACCATTACAATTGCTATAGAAGAATGACTTGGGTTAAGGGTGGCAGGAGATGATCTTGCCACCTCCACTGCCACCACTGGACTGGAGTAGGGGCAAACAGTTCTGGGGTATCAGAGGGATGGGGGTCTCCTCAGGCCCCTCACTCCCCAAACGGGCAACACTGAGCGCTCCCCAACCAAGTTTGTGAACTAGAAGCTACCAGGACAAACATCCAACCTCTGGACAGTTCTCAGGAGGCCTGATGCCCAGCCCCTCCATGGGCCACTTCCCCTCCACAGAGCCTACTGAGCAGAGGAAGGCCTCCATCCAGGATAACAAAGCCCTGGCCTGCCAGACACAAGGCTATTGGCAGGGGTTTCACTTTCTTCTTTCCTGCCTGGGAGAGGCCCACCCTGTCTCTGTATCCCTGTGTATGGGCTGGCCACCCACCCTTGGGTTCCATGGCAGCGGCAGGATAGCCCTCACCTGCTCATTCCTGTTTAATGTAGACACAGGTCCTGACATGGCAGGTACCTGCTCCCACTTCCTGTCATGCCATCATTGGAAGGTCCTGGGGCTGAGGCAGGAGAATTGCCTGAACCCAGGAGGCGGAGGTTGCGGTGAGCTGAGATCGCGCCATTGCACTCCAGCCTGGGTAACAAGAGCGAAACTCCGTCTCAAAAAAAAATAAAATAAATAAATAAAGCACAAGTCAGTCAAGAAGAAGCAAAGCAAGGCCCCTCCACTCCCCAGGGAGCCCCATCAGGAGGGCATCCATCAGGGTCAGGGAAGAGTCTGGACTCTGCTCCCTTAGAAGTGCAGGTTCTAATTCCACCCTTGCCACTCTTGCTGCGCAACCTCTGACAAACCTCTCCACCTACCTTGGCACCTCACTTCCGTCATCTTGAAAATGGAAATCAAAAACAAAACATAAAAGTGGAAAAAAAGCCCCACAGGGTGGCTCATGCTTGTAATCCCGGCACTTTGGGAGGCTGAGGTTGGTGGATCACCTGAGGTCAGCAGTTAAAGACCAGCTTGGCTGGCCAACATGGCAAAAACCCATCTCTACTAAGAATACAAAAATGAGCTGGGTGTGATGGCACACACCTGTAATCCCAGCTACTTGGGAGGCTGAGGCAGGACAATCACTTGAACCTGGGAGGCAGAGGTTGCAGTGAGCCAAGATCCCACCACTGCACTTCAGCCTGGGAGACAGAGCAAGGCTCCATCTCAAAGAAACAAACAAACAAAAAAACCCCACAGCCGGGCGCGGTGGCTCATGCCTATAATCCCAGCACTTTGGGAGGCCGAGGCGGGTGGATCATGAGGTCAAGAGATCGAGACCATCCTGGTCAACCCCTGTCGCTACTAAAAATACAAAAATTAGCTAGGCATGGTGGCACGCACCTGGAGTCCCAGCTACTCGAGAGGCTGAGGCAGGAGAATTGCTTGAACACAGGAGGCAGAGGTTGCGGTGAGCCGAGGTCGCGCCATTGCACGCCAGTCTGGGTAACAAGAGCGAAACTCCGTCTCAAAACAAAAAACAACCCACAAATATTAGCCATGGCAGGTGCCTGTAATCCCAGCTACTAGGGAGGCTGAGGCAAGAGTATCACTTGAACCTGGGAGGCAGAGGCTGCAGTGAGCCGAGATCACACCACTGTACTCCAGCCTAGGTGGCAAGTGAAACTCCATCTCAAAAAGAGAAAAAAGGAGAAAAAAAGACCAAAAAAAAAAGGAAGAAAGTTGGGATGATAACTGTACCTACTTGTGAAAATTAAATGAAATAATGGGTGGAAAGTGCAGAGAACGGTGGCTAGCCTGAAGTAAACAACTTGGTGAATAGCGAGTATCATTTTCATCATCATGGCCATTATTGTCCATCCTTAAATGCCACCAGCCAAGCCGGGCCAGTATGCTCCTTGCATCAGCATACAGACCGAAACCCGAGCCTGCTGGCAGGACCAGGCTGGGGAAGAAAAGAAAACTGTGTCCTCTGAGCAAAGCCTGGGCTGCCCCAGGCCTGCCCTCTGCCAAGGTGGGAAGCTGCTTATCTTTTAGCAAGATAGTGTCCTGCGAAGCACGCTCAATTCCACTCCTTCTCTCCAGGGCCCTGGCCTTCTGCCTCAGGATGAAATGTGACTCTCAGTGTGTGTCCCAAAACCTGGGAATTTCTCCTTAAAGAGTCAGACAGGTGGGCAGGGTGGGGTGAGTCACGATGGCCAGAAAACCCTGTTCCCTTCATCATTGCCTGACTCAGTGCCCTTAGGCCAACGAGATGCCACTTTCTGGACCCTACCACCGCCACCTCCCTCCTAAGTGACTTGGGGTGGAGGGGTATGCCTCCTTCCTTTCTCTGGGCCAGGCCAGCTTGGCCAAGTTTTGCCTGGACAGGGACTGAGTAGACTAGGACCAGTCAGATGTCTCCAAGCCTCTAGACAAAGAAGCCAGATGACTCTATGATTCTTTTTTTCTTGAAATGGAGTCTTGCTCTGTCGTCCACGCTGGAGTGCAATGACACAATCTCAGCTCACTGCAGCCTCCGCCTCCTACACTCAAGCAATTCTCCTGCCTCAGCCTGGGATTATAGGCAGGTGCCACCACACCAGGCTAATTTTGGTACTTTTTTTTCTAATATGGGTTGTCACCAAAGTACTTTTTTTTTTGAGATGGAGTCTCACACTGTCACCTGGGCTGGAGTGCAGTGGCACAATCTCAGCTTACTGCAACCTCCACCTTCGGGGTTCAAGCAATTCTCCTCCCTCAGCCTCCCAAGTAGCTGGAATTACAGCTGCATGCCACCATGTCAGCTAATTTTTTGTATTTTTAGTAGAGACAAGGTGTCACCATGTTGGCCAGGGTGCTCTCAAACTCCTGACCTTGTGACCGCCTCAGCCTCCCAAAGTGCTGGGATTACAGGCATAAGCCACTGTGCCTGGCCAATTTTTATACTTTTAGTAGAGACAGGGTTTTGCCATGTTGGCTAGGCTGGTCTCAAACTCTTGACCTCAGGTGATCCACTCACCTTGGTCTCCCAGAGTGCTGGGATTACAGGTATGAGCCACCATGCCTGGCCTGATTCTTTGAGACAGAGTCTTGCTGTTGCCCAGGCTGAAGTGCAGTGACAGGATCTCAGCTCACTGCAACCTTCACCTCCCGGGTTCAAGGAATTCTCCTGCCTCAGCCTCCCGAATAGCTGGAATTAGAGGTGCGTGTCACCACACCTGGCTAATGTTTTGTGTTTTTAGTAGAGATGGAGTTTCAACATGTTAGCCAGGATGGTCTTGATCTCCTGCCCTCATGATCCGCTCGCCTCCACCTCCCAAAGTGCTCTTTTTTTTTCCTTTTGATTCTCTGATTTTTAATTTGGGGAATATTACTATCAGAAAGAGAAGTGGGTTCTAGGTCCTCAAATATGCCAATTCACTGTGTAACTTTGAACCCTCTTGACATCTGTACCATTTGTACAACAGGGGACAGTGGGGCTAGGCTCGTATCCACCTAGGCCATTCAGGATGGTCCCTGTGCCAGCACCTCTTCTGTCACCCAGGCTGGAGTGCAGTGACATGATCATGACTCCCTGCAGTCTTGACCTCCAAGACTCAAGCAATCC